CAAACCCCTCTCCAGGCCCCGGAAGGTGCCACGCTCCCCCATGCCCAAGCCTCCCTGCTGCATGAGCCATCTGAACGGGCTGCCCCCTCACCCCCAGGGAGCCCGCTCCTGGCCCAGCCCGCAGTATCTGCTGAAAGCCACCTCCTTGGGATCCTTCCTGAGTGACGGGCGGAGGCCACATGCTCTGCTCCCACACTGCCCTTGGGCACGTCCCGGCAGGGGTGAGGCCAGGCTCATCAGTACACTTGGGTGTCTCTGTAGCTCTCCCTACCACAAGCGGACGCAGACTGGTGTCTGCCTTATCCGCAGGAGGCAGCAGTCCTCCCCACCTGCCCCTCCCGTCTGACCAGAGGCTCCACGACTCGGCACAGACAGCTGCATTCCCCGGTGCCCCGAGCGACAAGAACAGCAGGCCTGGGAGATGCCCGTCACTCCCTCCCGTCTACACCGCACTGTGCGTTCATCAAGCACACTTTACGCTCCCTGGTACAGATGTGATCATAGTGCATTTGTCTGCAGGGGTGCGCAGAAACACCATGTTGTGTGGCTCATTCATGGGAATGGAGCTGCCTCTGTTCATTTTCACTGCTTTCCAATGTTGTGGCTCTACCTTGGAGATACTGGCGGCTCGGGTCCCAGACCAGCACAACGGAGTGAATACCGCCACAGGGCCAGCCAGGAGCACACACGAAAGCTGTGTTTACGCTCTGTGGCAGTGCACGAAGTGCACAGTCGTGTCAGGGCTAAAGACAGACCTTGATTACGAAATGACTCATTCCAAGAACTGCTGTCACCTAAGCGTTAGTCACAGGAGCCCACGAGATCACAGTAACAACTATATTAACTACACTAATGACGCACAGGTCTGAGATATCTGAGATATCCTGAGACACACAGACACGGAGCCAGAAACGGCAGCTGCAAAGTGGGTCCGACAGACTTGCCCGCTGCAGGGTCGCCACGAACCCCCATCCATAACACACACGGCGTCTGTGGCACGCAGGAAGATGAAGTGTGCCCGCGGGCCCCTTCTCCCGGCCCCCTGACCGTTTCCTGTTTGGGACAATGGCAAACACCGTTCTGTGAAGGTCTATACACGTGTCCTGGGACACAGAAGCAAGCAGATGCATCCTTGACCCAGTCGGGCCACCCTGTTCCCACACTGACTGTAGCAGTGTGCATTCCAAGTGGCAGGCCACGGGCGCTCACGCTGCCTCACGGCCTTGCCAGCACCTGCCACTGTGGGCGTTGACACGTGTGCGTCTCCAGGAGGGAAAGGGAATCCCACGGTGTGTTTAATGCTGAAGGGAAGGGACGGGGATGAAGCGGGAAGGGCAGGGCAGCTGGGGCAGAGCGCTACAGCAGACAACAGCAGGATGGCACTGTGCTCCCCGCTCCCAGCAGTCACCCTGCAGACGCTTTACCTTCGGGGAGGGGTCTGCCCGGCTTCCACGCACACTTCCCTTGCTAACTTCGCTCCCTTGGCGCAGGTTCTTTGACCACAGCTCCCCCTCGGCTCACGGTGGAGCAAGGGAATGGGTCTACACCTGCCTGACCTCGGGGCTTGCTTCAGAGGCGAGGCTAGCTACCACTCGAGTCTGCCAGTCACAAGGAGACCACGCTGAGACGGGAACGATTCTGCGGTTTTTCAAGAGTTTGCGAGAGGTGACCTCAGCATGGTTTGAAGCTACAAGAGCAGTTTTGCAGAGCAGAGGGCCAGCCCGTTTGAGAAGGAAGCCAACCTGGAGAGGAAGCAGAAGAAACCCGATCCTCAGGGCACCTCGTAAAACCCTCCTCTGGCTGCGCCTGGAGCTGGATCGACCCTTGACCTGTGCCACTGCTTGAGGCAGTAAATGGCCTTTATGTTCAGCTCCGTGCACCCAGGAGTCACCTGACCAAAAAAGGGAATCCTGCCTGATACAGCACAGGACGTTATTGAAGGTGACTGGGCTGAAATACACAAAGAATTTGTGCCCCCCCCCCCAAAAAATCTGCCTATTTCTCTAGACAAAGGTAGACACCCGGTGGCGGCTCCCCCTCCCGCCCCACAGGTGGAATGCAACCTGCCAGGGCCTGCCCGATGTCCCAGCCACTCTTGGCCCTCGGCCCCGTCCGCAGCTCCAGGGACACGATCAGAACCTTCTTCTGTCCCTAGCTGTTACTCTAACCAAAGCCGACAGGGAAGACTCCCCACCGAAACCCAGTTTTCACCCAGCTGCCACGACTCAGCTGTGCAGCCTGGGGCCGTGTTCTTGACCTTTGCACAGCTCCATAGGACCGGAAGAGGTGGGGGTGGGGAGGCACCTAGACCACGTACAGGCAGACCAAAGTCAATGCACGGTGAGCACACGAGCGTTGTGTGCAGCCTAATGTCACGGCAGATACCACTGCACACAGATGGAATCTGTCGGTCAGGCACCCTCTGTGCTGGTTTCCTACAATCTGGCCATCAGGCAGGACAGGGCCAGCTTATCAGACGAGTTCTTTCAAGATCATCAGTGGAGCCTGGAGCTCCCCATCTGCAGGTTAGTCAGACAGAGATACTTGACCACTCACTTCCCGGAGCAAGGAGGGATCTGAGAACTGGCAAGGGGGTACACTTCTCATCGAACGTAAGATACCCACACCACTGCATTGCAGCCTCTCCGAAACGTGATCCGTAGCATATCCTAACTGAACTAGGGGGACGTGTTTTCCACCATGTCCCGTCATGTATAAACTGACTGCCTCTTAGATCTGGTGCAGGGTAGCCCGTCTCCTACCAGGCGCCGTGGACACACCGCTCTCCTCTTGGCCCTCTCCCCCTTCCGTCCTAGCCGTGGCCAGCACTGCACCGCAGGGCCCACACAGTCCCCACGATCGGGCCCCCACTGTGGCCTCAGCCTAACGCAGCTCCATCTCTAGGGCCTCCACTCCCCACGCCCTGTGCCGGCACATGGTCTCTGTCCCAGTGCATAGTGGACGGCTGGAATCAGACACCACCCGTGTGAGGCCCCCCATGCCCATCCCACCTTCCAGCTGAATGGCTCCCCCCACCCCGGGAGGCTCCCGCAGCTCTGCAAGTGCCACGGGTCATTACAGTACTACCAGCAGCTGACGCGGCTACCCACCGCCCCCCACCAGAAGGTGAACCCAGGCACCATTCCTCGCCGGTCCCTATCCCCAGGACCTGGCACAGACGTGCTCCATGCCTCCAGATCCCACCCTCTTCTTCACCCCCCTACCCCCACCAGGCTTCCCTTGGCCCCTTCACGATCTTGCTTCTGCAGAAGGCCCCCTCTGATTAGATGTTCTTGACCACAAACATTTCCCGGATCTCCCCCTGTCTCCCTCCACACACCCTGTTTTGGGGAGAAGGTCAACATTTCATGTGTACCGATCTGGTGAGCTGTACTTCCTCCTGGGTAACAGTCCAATTAAGCCTTTGTTTTCCAAAGCCACTGTCTTTCCATTCTGATCCCGAGGCCCAAGTCTGGAGTCACCTCAAGAAACCTCAGTTAGGACCATGGACTTCCTTTGCGGCTCACGATGTGTTCTGGGGTGGTCTGACACCAGCCTGTCACTCCCTTGCAGGAAAGAGACGGCTAAGATACCACCTTCTCCTGGGCCTCAGCTTCCTTACTTCCCTCTCAAGGAGGGGAATAAAACATCTTGTCAAGTTCATCACACTGTTTGACGTTCATGGGACGCCCCCCAGTCAAAGTGCTTTCAATAGTAAAAAGCTCTATAAAAATACATGCTAGGAAGGACACAGGAGCCAACTTGGAAGAGCCCCCAGTAACCAAAGCCACAACAACTGGAGCAACAAAATAAAAGAGGATTGGATTATACCCGAAAGTACAAAATAAACATCCATGAGTCCGTGCTGGTGTTAATGGGTTGAATAAATTAATAAATAAGAGAGATGATTTGCTATGCAAAGAGTTCCAAACACTGGGTGTAGCTACTTGTCCTCAAGGAGGAGGAGCATACCGGCCCCTCCTTGGGTGTGGGCTGCGCAGTCACTTCTTTGCAAAGAGTACAGTGTGAAATGGCAGGGGGGGGGGGTCGGCGGGAGATACAGTAACTTGACAGCCAAGAAACCTGCTAAGCACTTTCTCAGGTGATCACAAGCAACATCAAGTCTTAAATCGTGTGGACAGTATGTACCCTTGACCCCAGGTCATCAACAGGGCAACCTACCTCAGTAGTCTTCCAATAAGCGAGAGCCTGGTCTCAGGAGAAAAACATCCAGTTCCAGTAGACGGGCACCCTACACTCCACCAGCATTTCTCAAAACTGTCAAGATCATCCCACAGCCAAGCAGAGCCTCAGCAGACATGACAACCAAATGCAACCTGGTAAGGTGGCAGGGATCACCGCACAGAACAGGTGCTTAGGTGGACACGCGGTCAATCGGGAGAAGGACAGACTTGGGCCAATAACAGATCAATACCGGTTCATTAACTGTAACAAATGCATCATGCGAACGTAAGATGTTAATCAAGGGGGGAAAGGTCTGGGATATGTGGGAACCCTACTACCTTTGCAATTTCTTCTATGAGCTTAGAGTTGTTCTAAGCAAATCTATTCAGGAAAAAAAATGCACTTTGGTGAAGAAAACCCATAAAGCCTGTTTTTTAAAAGAGCTGTTGCTTCTAAACTTGGGGGAGGCTCGGGCAGTGTCCCCGCACGATCTGCGGCAGGCATGACCGGATGCCATTCCCCCATCCTCGCGGTGGGGTCAGGATCCAGGGTGCAGAGGGAATCCGGTCCTTCCTCGAGGGCCAAGTGGGGTCAGATAATGAGGGCGCTCGCGGCTGGCGGAGGGAGTTCGTGCACGGCTCCGAGGACCGGGGGCCGGCCTTCCTTACTGCACAACCTACCCCCCCCCCCCACCGCCCCGGGGCCCCGGGCACCTGCTGGCGCTTGGGGCGGAGGCCGGCCGGGGCCCAGCGCGCGCGCCGCGGCAGATCGCCCACCACCTCGCCCCCGACCCCGCGTCCGCTTCCTCGACTCACCGCACTGCCGCGCTCCGGGCCGCGAACACCGGCCTGAGGGGCCTCCCGGCTCTCCCGCCGCGGCCGGTTCCGGGTCGCGTCCCCACCGCGCGGCCTCCGGGATCCGCCGAGCGCGGCTCCGAGATTTCTCCCCGGATCAGCGCCCGGATTGGCTCCTGCCTAACACCGTCTCCCAATGGGAGCGCGAGTCTCCTCTACGTCACCATCACTGGGCAAATCCGGGGGCCTCTGAAGGGGGCGGGGCGACGAGGGCCGAAGCGCACGGACCTGCGACCGGGCGGAGCCGGGGTGCGCGGGAGCCGCAGCGGGGGTGGGGCGGGCAGGGCGCGCTCCCGGGGTGCTGGAGAGGGGCGCCGTTCCCAGGCCTAGCTGAGCGGGAACCCCATGCCCTCCCCCTGCGCGCGCTCCGGGCCGAAGGGGAGCTCTGCGGCCGAGCGGGTCTCGCCGTAGGCTCGGCATTAAATAGGACTCCCTGCCCCCAACCTGGCCTAATTTTGCTTCCTGAACCCGGAAGGCCTTTAGCAAGCACGTCCTTAAAGGGGGTTATTTACAAAAATTAGCTACCCTTTTCGAGGCATCTGCGATGAGCGAGGAGCTTTACCTAAAACACCTTTCAGCAGGGCAGCACGACTGTCCCCACTGCACAGAAGGGACAAGCGAGGCTCCAGGCGCTGGCGGCCCGGCCCCGCTCCGTGCAGCTGTCTCCCTCCCAGTGGCTGGGTCCGGGGTGCCCTGAGCCCTCGCGGTGGTGGTGGGGCTTTCCTGGAGCTCCGGCGCATCCCCCGGCCCCCCGCTCCCCCCAGGCTGCGCGGGGTCGGGGGCGGCCGGGAAAGGGTCTCCGCGTCAGGCACCTACCTGCTCCCGCCCGGAAGGGTGGTCGCGAGGTCCCGGAGTGGACGCGGGTCGGCCGCCTCGCCAGGGGAAGTGGCTCTCAGGGTCCCAAACCCTAGAACCTGCCCGGGCCCCGCCCCTCGCGCGGGGTGGGGCAGGAATTTGAGGCGAAAGCACCGGGTTTAAAGAGTGGCGGTGTGGAGGGTTGTGTGTTCCGACCTACACGCCCTCGGTCTCCGCCCCCACGCCGGGCCGTCCTCTCTCGCTTTCGGTCTCCTCCGGGGCGAGGGGTGTGGCCCTCCCCTACCCGACCGGACTCGGGCGCGCGGGGCGCTGGCTGGGGTCTGAGCACCCGCTCCGCTAGACGCCTCTGGGGAAGACGGCGGGAGGTTTCGGCCGCGGATCTGCTCTCTCCCGTCCCTAGGACCCGGCAGCTCCACTCAGAGGCCATTCGGGGATCGTCCCGCCGGGGAGGCCCCGTGCCCTGCTTCGGACAGTCGGTCTCTTCCCCGCACACTTGCAGCCAGGAGGCCCCGCTGATCGCTCGCGCAGTCCCAGCTCCGGGCGCGGCTGCCCCCTTCTTGCCGGTCGGCTAAACGGGCAGCTCGGAGGGCCTTCCATCGCCGAATCAGGTCCCGTCAGGCAGCGGTCTCTTTCACTTTCTGTATGCACGGGCTGTCATTCATTCACCCATTTCACTTTTATTTTATTTAAATTTGATTAGTTAACATATAATTGGTTTCAGATGTAGAGATCAGTGATTCGTCAGTTGCATACAACACCCGGTGCTCATCACATCACATGCCCTTCTTAATACCCATCCCCCAGTTACCCCATCCCCCCACGCCACCACCCACCCCTCCTGCAACCCTCAGTTTGTTTCCGGTGATAGAGTCTCTTCTGCTTTTGTCTCCCTCTCTGGTTTCTCTTAGTTTATTGTCCCCTCGCTTCCCCTACGATCCTTTGTTTTGTTTCTTAAATTCCACATATCAGTGAGATCACATGACGTCTTTCTCTGATGGTCATTTTGCTTAGCATAATTCCCTCTAGTTCCATCTATGTCGATGCAAATGGTGAGTATTCATCCTTTCTGGTGGCTGAATAATATTCCATTGTGTATATGAACCACATCTTTTAAAAAAATTAACATAAAATGTATTATGTATTTCAGGAGTACAGGTCTGTGAATCATCAGTCTTACACATTTCATAGCACTCACCATAGCACATACCCTCCCCAATGTCCATCACCCAACCACCCTCTCCCTACCCCACAACCCCCAGCAACCCTTACTTTGTTTCCTGAGATTAAGAGTCTCCTATGATTTGTCTCCCTTCCCAGTCCCATCCTGTTTCATTTTTTTCCCTCCCTACCCCCCACGACATCCCGGGTCTGCCTCTCAAATTCTTCATTTCAGAGAGATCATATGATAATTGTCTTTCTCTGATTGATTTATTTTGCTTAGCATAATACTTTCTAGTTCCAACCATGGCATTGCAAATGGCAGGACTTTGTGGGGTTTTTTTGCTTTTTTGAAGGCTGCATAGTATTCCATTATCTATATATACTGCCTCTTCTTTATCCATTCATCTGTTGATGGACATCTAGGTTCTTTCCAAAGTTTGGCTATTGTGGACATTGCTGCTATAAACATTTGGGTGCACATGCCCCTTCAGATCACTACATTTGTATCTTTAGGGTAAATACCCAGTAGTGCGATTGCTGGGTCATAGGGTAGCTCTATTTTCAACTTTTTGAGGAACCTCCATTCTGTTTTCCAGAGTGGTTGCACCAGCTTGCATTCCCATCAACAGTGTAGGAGGGTTCCCCTTTCTCTGTATCCTTGCCAGCATCTGTCGTTTCCTAACTTGTTAATTTTAGGCATTCTGACTGGGGTGAAGTGGATCGCATTGTGGTTTTGATTTGTATTTCCCTGATGCCGAGTGATGTGGAGCACTTTTTCACGTGTCTGTTGGCCATCTGGTTGTCTTCTTTGCAGAAATAGACATTTCTGCATGTCCTCTGTCCATTTCTTGATTGGATTATTTGTTCTTTGGGTGTCGAGTTTGCTAAGCTCTTTCTAGATTTTGGATACTAGCCCTCTATCTGATATGTCATTTGCAAATGTCTTCTCCCATTCTGTCAGTTGTCTTTTGGTTTTGTTGACTATTTCCTTTCCTGTGCAAAAGCTTTTGATCTTGATGAAGTCCCAATAGTTCCTTTTTGCCCTTGCTGCCCTTGCCTATGGCGATGTTTCTAGGAAGAAGTTGTTGCAGCTGAGGTCGAAAAGGTTGCTGTCTGTGTTCTTCTTAAGGATTTTGATGGATTTCTGTCTCACATGGAGGTCCTTCATTCACTTTGAGTCTATTTTTGTGTGTAGTGTAAGGAAATGGTTCAGTTTCATTCTTCTGCACGTGGCTGTCCAATTTTCCCCACACCATTTGTTGAAGAGACTGTTTTTCTTCCATTGGATATTCTTTCCTGCTTTGTTGAAGATTAGTTGACCATAGAGTTGAGGGTCCATTTCTGGGCTCTCTGTTCTGTTCCATTGATCTATGGGTCTGTTTTTGTGCCAGTACCATACTGTCTTGATGATGACAGCTTTGTAATAGAGCTTGAAGTCTGGAATTGTGATGCCACCAACTTTGGCTTTCTTTTTCAACATTCCTCTGGCTACTCGAGGTCTTTTCTGGTTTCATATAAATTTTAGGATTATTGTTCCATTTCTTTGAAAAAAAATGGATGGGATTTTGATAGGCATTGCATTAAATGTGTAGAGTGCTTTAGGTAGCATAGACATTTTCACAATATTTGTTCTTCCAATCCATGAGCATGGAACATTTTTCCATTTCTTTGTGTCTTCCTCAACTTCTTTAATGACTACTTTATAGTTTTCTGAGTATAGATTCTTTGCCTCTTTGGTTAGATTTATTCCTAGGTATCTTATGGTTTTGGGTGCAATTGTAAATGGGATCGACTCCTTAATTTCTCTTTTGCTGTTGGTATATGGAAATGCAACTGATTTCGGTGCATTGATTTTACTTCCTGACACTTTACTGAATTCCTGTACAAGTTCTAGCAGTTTGGAGTGGAGTCTTTTGGGTTTTCCACATAAAGTATCGTATCATCTGCAAAGAGTGAGAGTTTGACTTCTTTGCTGATTTGGATGCCTTTAATTTCTTTTTGTTGTCTGATCGCTGAGGCTAGGACTTCTAGTACTATGTTGAATAGTGGTGGTGATAGTGGACAGCCCTGCCATGTTCCTGACCTTAGGGGAAAAGCTCTCAGTTTTTCCCTATTGAGAACTATATTCACTGTGGGTTTTTCATAGATGGCTTTTATGATCTTGAGGTATGTATCCCTACACTGTGAAGAGTTTTGGTCAAGAAAGGATGCTGTACGTTGTCAAATGCTTTTTCAGCATCTATTGAGAGTATCATATGGTTCTTATTCTTTCTTTTATTAATGTATTGTATCACACTGATTGATTTGCACATGTTGAACCATCCTTGCAGCCTAGAATAAATCCTGCTTGGTTGTGGTGAATAATCCTTTTTTTTTTTTTAAAGATTTTATTTATTTATTTGACAGACAGAGATCACAAGTAGGCAGAGAGGCAGGCAGAGAGAGAGGTGGAGGCAGGCTCCCTGCGGAGCAGAGAGCCCGATGTGGGGCTCGATCCCAGGACCCTGGGATCATGACCTGAGCTGAAGGCAGAGGCTTAACCCACTGAGCTACCCAGGCACCCATGAATAATCCTTTTAATGTACTGTGGGATCCTATTGGCTAGTATTTTGGTGAGAATTTTTGCATCCACATTCATCAAGGATATTGGTCTGTAATTCTCCTTTTTGATGGGGTCTTTGTCTGGTTTTGGGATCAAGGTAATGTTGGCCTCATAAAATGAGTTTGGAAGTTTTCCTTCCATCTATTTTTTGGAACAGTTTCAGAAGAATAGGTAGTAATTCATCTTTAAATGTTTGGTAGAATTTCCCTGGGAAGCCATCTGTCCCTGGGCTCTTGTTTTTGGGAGATTTTTGATGAATGCTTCAATCTCCTTACTGGTTATGGGTCTGTTCAGGTTTTCTATTTCTTCCTGGTTCAGTTTTGGTAGTTTTTATGTCTCTAGGAGTGCATCCATTTCTTCCAGATTGTCAAATTTGCTGGTGTATAGTTGCTCATAATATGTTCTTATAATTGTTTGTAGTCCTTTGGTGTAGGTTGTGATCTCTTCTCTTTCATTCATGATTTTATTTATTTGGGTCCTTTCTCTTTTCTTTTAGATAAGTCTGGCCATGGGTTTATTAATCTCATTAATTCTTTCAAAGAACCAAGTCCTAGTTTCATTGATTTGTTCTACTGTTCTTTGCTTTCTATTTCATTGATTTCTGCTCTGATCTTTATTATTTCTCTTCTCCTGCTGGGTTTAGCTTCCTTTGCTGTTCTTTCTCCAGCTTCTTTAGGTGTAGGGTTAGGTTGTGTACTTGAGAACTTTCTTGTTTCTTGAGAAAGGTTCGTAGTGCTATATACTTCCCTCTTAGGACAGTCTTTGCTGTGTCCCATAGATTTTGAATGGCTGTATTTTCATTTTCATTTATTTCCATGATTTTAAAAATTCTTTAATTTCCTGGTTGACCCATTCATTCTTTAGTAGGATGTTCTCTAGTCTCCATGTATTTGAGTTCTTTCCAAGTTTCCTCTTGAGTTCTAGTTTCAAAGCTTTGTGGTCTGAAAATATGCAGGGAATGATCCCAATCTTCTGGTACCAGTTGAGACCTGATTTGTGACCCAGGATGTGATCTATTCTGGAGAATGTTCAATGTGCACTAGAGAAGACTGTGTATTCTGTTGCTTTGGGATGGAATGTTCTGAA